CACGTGTCCCCAGATCTCCCTTTTTAGGCAGAACACATTTCCACAGCAGTGCTGGTGCTGGGAGAGAAATAAAATTAAATAAAATGCCACACTACACTTATATTGAGTTACAGTTTGGAATTCACAGCTTCCCATATTTCCCCATAAAACTTCAGATTGCTGGGCAACTGGACACATCTTTGCTGACAGGCTGGGGAGCTGTAATGCAACACTAACAGAAGCTGTAAGTTTGCAAAATTCCCCATTTTTCCTGTTCTGGAATACTGAACACCTGGTTAATGTGCCCACAGGCACTAATTAGGAAGCAATGATGCTGCTCCTGGTTCCCATCCCATTCCCTGCTCCAGCTACGAGCAATGACCTTCCCCTTGCAGAGGATGTGGAATTTATTAATTAACACAACACCAAAAAGACCCCAAATCCCTTTCAACTTTTACTGTTTTAAATGGAGGATGTGCTCATAAAGAGGACAGGCTTGCTAAAAATACCTCTTTATATTCATCTGAGGTTCCAGTCACATCTGGTCTCCACTGTTTCATAGCGCTACTAATTAATATCTGTTAATTAAGAAATGAAAGTGCTGCCATAAGTTGTTGTGAAGTAATGGAAACTTTTGGATGAAATCCTTGATCCAGAGGTGATCTGGGTGAAATCAGGACAAAATAAAGAAGACCTTGGGAATGGGGCCCTGTATGGCAGATTTGATTTTCTCAAAAAATGGATTTATTTGGTTTATTAGGTTTTAACCTTATTTTTTTGGTTGCCCAGAGGAGCTGTGGCTGGAAGTATCCAAGGGATGCTGCACAGGCTTAGAGTAACCAGGGAAGGTATCCCTGCCCATAGGGACAGGGAATGAGATGAACTTTGAGGTCCCTCTCAACCCAATCCACTCTGGAATTCCACGGTTCTTTATCCAGAGACCCTTTTGCTGGCACAAAGCAGTGATCAAAACCAGCATTAAAAACATTTAATAAACTGTGGGAATTTCTCACCCTGTTTGGGGCAGCGATGTAAAAAATGTCCTTGTCCCCACCAACCCGGGGCTGGAGACACTGAACGTGTCCACGTCTTCAACCAGTTCTTTAGAAAACCCCTGGAATCTGACAGCCAACACCCTGAGGGAGATGTGGTGACAAAAGCAGCATCAGCTGTGTCCTTCTCTGGCTCCAAAGGTCAGCTGAGCCCAGCCACCTCCATCTAAATGTCCCCACCATCTGAGGTGGCCCAGCCATCTCCAATTAAATGTCCACACAATCTGAGGTGCCCCAGCCATTTCCACCTAAATGTCTGCATGCCCCAGCACTTTGATCATTTGGGATTTTTGCCTCTTTTCTCCCCACTGTGTTTTTGTGGAACAATGCCTGGCTTGGAAATTACTTTGTTTGTCAGGCATGGCTGCCATCAGCTCTCCAAGTCATCCTCAGCCGACCCCTACCAACCACGTCCCCAAGTGCCACATCCACACCTGTGTGAGCTCTTCCAAGGGTGGTGACTCCACCCTTGCCCTGGGCAGCCCCTGCCAAGGCCTGAGCACCCTTTCCATGCAGAAATTGCTGCTGCTGTCCCAGCTGAGCCTCCCCTGGCCCAGCCTGAGGCCCTTTCCCCTTGTCCTGTCCCTGTTCCCTGGCAGCACAGCCTGACCCCATCCTGGCTCCAACCTTTTTCCAGGCAGTTGAAGAGAATGAGGAGATTGTCTTGCTGCTGCTTCTGATTCTCAGAGGGAGTGAAACATCTCAGAGGGAGGGTGTGAGAAACATCCCAAATCCCACCTGGCTTTTGTGATGGTGTTCACAGGGATTCTTGGATGAGGGAAGAGACGAGGATCTGACTCCATGTTTCAGAAGGCTTGATTTATTATTTTATGATATATATGATAATAAACTATACTAAAATAATAGAAGAAAGGATTTCATCAGAAGGCTGGCTAAGAATAGAACAGGAAAGAATGATAACAAAGGCTTGCGGCTCGGACAGAGTCTGAGCCAGCTGACTGTGATTGGCCATTAATTGGAAACAACCAACATGAGACCAATCACAGATCCACCTGTTGCATTCCACAGCAGCAGATAATCATTGTTTACATTTTATTCCTGAGGCCTCTCAGCTTCTCAGGAGAAAACATCCTAAGGAAAGGATTTTTCAGAAAAAGTGTCTGTGATAGGCTTTCTCTTGCCAGCCCCCTCCAGAGGAGCCAAGGATGCCTAAGATCCCCTCTGATGGACTTCAGGGGGGATCTCTCACAGTTCCTCACAAAGGAACTGTATTTTATCCCCCACTTATAGTAAATCAACTACTCCATTCTATATTTTCTGGATCTCAGAGCCCTCAGCTGCCCTTTGCTGTTCAGTATGGAGAGCACAGCAGTGTTTAGAAGTCTCCAGAATAATTTACAATCCAAACAAAGAAGGTGGGGAAGGAAAAGAGACCAATTAATTTGCCCTAAATGATGCAATAATGCAGAGGGAGAGAAAGTGAATAAACACCACTCTGCCTTCCTGCACTTGACTGGTGTCTCCTCTGGAAGTCACTCTGGCCACAGATAATGATCAATCAAAGTCTCCCTGGGTGTGCAGAGGGCTCCAAGCAGGGCTGGTGTTCCTTTGGCAGAGCTGCCAGGCTCTGCAGGTCAGCTCAAGGCAGAGTGGCACTTTCATCTCCCTTTCTGCTCATGCCATCTGCTCTCTCTCTATTTTGTATTTATTTTTGATTTTGTAGTACAAGCTGCAGCTTTATGTTGTGAAACTGTTCAACTCCGACCTTTCCCTAAATACACAGGCAGAAAGTTTGTGAACCAGCTCAAGAACAGCACTGGAATCACCCAGATTATGATAATTAGACAAACAAAGATCAATACTAATCCACTCTAAAGCCACTAATTCTCACTCCATCTGAAATTCAAGCACCCACATCCAGCAGTTTTTCCTTTTGCAAGGGGAACCATTGCTCCGTGCTGCCTTTCACATTAAAGATATCCCATGTCACTGGAAAATGAGGGCCTGTGACACCTGCCAGCTCCAGCTTGCATCACTGCCAACAAACCAAACACAAAGCACAGCCTGCAGAGTGTGACAGTCCCTGAAAATCTTAGCAATCAACACTAGTCCTGCTCCCAAATATCTGAGAGTCTCAGAGATTAATCAGAAACTTTTAGGGCTCTTTTAATTTCATTTTTGACATGGAGGAAAATGAATAACTGCCTTTGCTGTCCTCAAAAGGTTTTAAGAGCTTCTTAGCACCGTGCAAAGAACTTCCCAGGAATGGAGCTGCGCTTTGGAAAGGGAAATCAGGCTGTCCAGATAATCCTGAAGAGTTCACAGGGACACAAAGATAACCTGGCTTATTCAGGTGCTGTCATCAAAAGGTATTATGGGCTACAAGTCACTTTGTACTGCAAGAGTTCTTCACTGCAGTGAAAAAACATTCCCACCTCCTGGGATAGAACTGGAGATCAAGGCAGGCTCAGAAATCTCATAATCCCTGAGAGGTTTGGGTTGGAAAGGGCCTTAAATCCCACCCAGGGTCACCCTGCCATGGGCAGGGACACCTTCCACTGTCCCAGGCTGCTCCAAGCCCCGTCCAGCCTGGCCTTGGGCACTGCCAGGGAACAATTCCTAATTCCCAATATCACATCCAGCCCTGCCCTCTGTCAGTCTGAACCCATTCCCTGTGTCCTGTCCCTCCAGTTCCTGTTGCAGGGTCCCTCTCCAGCTCTTCCGTGTCCCTTCAGGCTCTGGAAGGAGCTCTGAGGCCTCCACACACCCTTCCCTTCTCCAGGCTGAGCATTCCCAGCTCTCCCAGCCTGGCTCCACAGCGAAGATGCTCCAGACCCCTCAGAAATTTCTGAGCCCTCTCTGGACTTGCTCCACAGCAAGTTTGCTCCAACAGACACCTGCCTGCCCTGATCTGAAATTCCAGTCCCAAATGTTTTTATTTGCTTTTATTATTTTTATACACTGCACACCTCTGGAAGACACGTAAGGAACTGCAGGGAGCAGCAGGAGCAATTTATCTCTCTTGAAAAATCCTTCAGCAAAGGATTATTATCAAATGCAAAGATTGTCATTTTGCACTGGTCCTTCAGATTTCATATTTGTTCCAAGTTAAATATAAAATTAGGAGAAGAGAGGCATGTTTTTGCTGTTTTTCATTTCTTTAAGTGGGAAATATGCTAATACTCAAATCACGAGGACAAATACTGCACAGATAATGATTTTTTGTCTAAACTTGTTTAAATAGCTGAACAAGCCCATCCTTAAGGGCTTACTGATGACAATTTATATTCGATTTCTGATTCCCTGCAGTCCTTGGATTTGGAAATATCTGTACAAACCCCACTACATTCTGATGCTGATTATGTCACTACAGTGACATAGAGAGAACACATTGCAATTTCTTGATATCTTGAAGCTGCTTGCCCTGATCTTATCCCTTCCTATTATTGTACAGATGTCAAATTCATGAACACATTCTCTACTACAAAATTATCAAACTAATCAGCCCACTTTTTTGATTTGCTTTTGATCAATTTTAAGACACTGAGGTCAATGATAATGAATTGTCAGAGGGTAAATTTGTGAAATTATGTCTCTGTGGTGATAATAATCACCTGCACTTCTAACATTGAAGAGGTTGGGTCTGAGTCCTCCCATGCCTCACACAAATGGTGTAAAGGATTAAAAAATGCCTCACAAAAATGGTTTAGAGGGTCAAAACACATTCCAGGAAATTTAATTTGGGCTGGTGAACCTAGCCCAAATTCCAGGACATGAAATTTGTTTATCCAAATGACTGATATTTTCAACAACTTCTGAGGGGAAAATTTCAAGCAAATCTTTGCTCACCATCAGCCCAGATCTTTCCAACTGGTGACAACCTGCTCAGACAGTAAAAGTCCACCACAACAGAGTATTTTTGTAGGTCTCTTTCAGACTAGCCTTCAAGCAGGACTTCATTTTGGCTTTAAAAACACCAGTTTTAGGGTGAAAGAATGAACTCCTTACCTGTATTCATCCTGTGTGAAGCGTGGGATGACTGAGGGCTGCAGCACCACAATTTCCACCATGGTGGTGTTGAACTTCACTGGGTCCCCATCATCGTAGGCAATGACCACCAGCTAGAAACAACAGAGAAAATCAGGCTCTGACTGCACAAAAGAACATTCTTCATCCTGACTTCCAGCAATTCTGGTACTTGCAGGGTCTAAAAAATCAGATGTGATTTTCTTTTGCTGCAAGTCACACGCAGCGTAAGAACAAAACACGGAGGAAAAGACAGCCATCCTCTGGTTGAAACTCTGCTGGAAAATTTACAGAAACATGGTAAACTGGAGCAATTGTATTCCTGGAAAGGGTTGTTAAACATTGGAATGGGCTGCTCATGGATGTGTGGAGTCTCCATGCCTGGAGGTGTCCAAGAAACCCCTGGATGTGGCACTCAGCGCTCTGGCGGGATTGGTCACGGGTTGGACCTGATGATCCTGGAGGGCTTTTCCAACCTCAATGATTCTGTAACTCCCAATATAACAGGGAAAGACCTGGGTGACAATTATCAGTTGCTGACATTAATATCTAGAACCAAGGGCTCAAGTTAGAATAAAAAAAATTAACATTACTTCCCACCCACCTCCAAAAAGTCCTCTGCAGAAAAGAGATGCTCTAAGCTCAAACATGGACAAGACCAAATTACCTTTTCTTAAATGAGGCCTGTTATTAATATTTTGATCTTTAAAAAACTTTTTTCATGTCTATTTGATGATTTAATTCAGAATTTTGTGCTGGCACAAGCAGGTTAATTTGTTTTTAGCTTCCCATGAAATGTGCTTGTGTGTGAACTCCAGTCCACTGAATAAGGAGCAATGGGCACTTTTCCAGTTTTCTCCCTAAATTTTTTCCTTATTCCTGGAGGTTGCTACATGAGGCAGGTCTGCACCTCCTTCTAGCAGAACAGTTTCAACTCATTTCTGCCAGTCCAAGCTATTCCACAATAACCTCTTTTTTGCCAGTCAGTATATCAGGAAAGTCACCAATGCAACATATAATTGCAGAAATTACCCAGATGTTAAATAGTGACTGGAAAAGTTCCCAGAGGATTCAGCAGCAGACACAAGCCCAGTGGTCTTGAAGCAAATACCAACTCCAAGTGTTCCCATCACTGATTTGTGGAGTCTTCTCTGTGCTTTTTTCCTAAGAATCCACATTTTCTGAAAAATAATTCCCTGCTGAATGTCTCATTTACTGGCCTAATATGAAACAGTGTGGGAGAGATCCCAGTTTTGGAAATAAGTACTAGAAGTAAAATAAGTACTAAGAAGTAAAAACAGCAAGTGCAGCAACAGAAAAGTTCCACTCTTGGTGATGTTAACCAAGAAAAAGTTCCTCTCCATCCTTAGGTTTTATTATATTAATTAGAAATTTAAAAGGACTTCAATTAGCACTGTCCAAAACCAGGGACTGCTCCAGCTCAAGTAGCCCTTGATGGGACACTCAGGAGTGGAAAACAGTGGACAGCTTTATTCCTCATAATGGAAGGTGAGCAAATAAACCTCTCTTTAACCCTCATTTCAGAAATAAATAAATGAAAAAAGAAAAAAAAACCACCTTAATGAGTGTAAGGAAGTTTCCAAGTAGGGAAATTACATCCAACCCAAGATACTATGGAGATTTTTTTTTTCCTTACTGACCCACTTCTATTTTCATTTTTTACTACCCCATGGATCTTAAAGGGCAGATGCTCTACTGCTTTAGGTTAAAATCATTCCTTAATCCACACTCATTCACTACAGAATCTTCAGGAGCAGTGACAACAAAATGGGAATTTAGTTTTCCTTAAAATCAATGTTTTTACATTAAAACACTCATGAACAGGAACTCCTGAACTACCCAGCTGCGCAGCAACTTTATTTACAAGTCATCTAGCTCTTCTTACAAAGTTCTCCCCAAATTCTCCCCAAAAGCCCTGTTGAAAGTGAACTTGGGAAAAATGAAGGTTCCCCAAGGTGTCTCCCTGTTTTCCACACCCTCCCAACAGGTGCAACCAAATCCCTTCAAGACATTCCTGAAATCACAAAGGCACAAAACACATGCCAAGAGAAAAGGAGGGAAACAAAGGAACAAACAGAAGTGAAATTTTGCAAGGAAATCCAATGAAAGGTTGGATTTGATCTTGGAGGTCTTTTTCAACCTTAATGATTCTGGAATCATTCTATGCAACAGAAAAAACAAAGGAGAACCATGATGGTGAAAGGAATCCCAGCAAATCCAGGGAATTTTGAGGCACTGCAGCTGAATTTGTACCTTGAACACTGTGCTGGGCTCTTCATTGAGGTTCACTCGGGTGACGACACGTCCAGAGTTTTCCTCCACATCAAAGATGCTGGCACTGTAGGGAAACTGGACAACATCCACCTTGTAGCGAACCAGACTCGCTGGGGTGCCCTGGAAGGCAAAAAGAGGCAAATTGGAGATTTTTTGGGTTTTGTACACCTCCTGAAGGATTAAAATGTAACATTGGTAAGGCCATCAAGCAAAACTTGCTGTTTGTCCTGAGCAACCCCTTCAATCCCTACCAAACACCTTCCATGACACCTGTGAGGTACAGGAGGAAAAATCACCAGAGGTTTGGAAGGAAAAGGGCTGAATCTCCACCTACTTAAACCCAGAAGTGTTTTATAAAAAATGAAATTTTTAAAGAAAAGATGGGCATGGCTTCAGGCTGGTTGAAATACCTTTCAAAAATATTTTGACTTGGTATAAAACTCATTTAAGGAACTTAGCAGTGGTTAAAAAAAATGCTGTTTTGCAGATGGATTTTAAACAGTTCTATAAGCAACCCTCCCAATGGTTCAGATTCTTGGTGACAAGAACCAGCCCCAGGCACCCCTGGGTGTGTCACAAGTGTCCCCAAGTCCCACTGGCCACATCTTTATTGAACACCTGCAGGGCTGGGCACTGCAAAGCTCCCTGGGCAGCCCCTGCCAAGGCCTGAGCACCCTTTCCATGCAGAAATTGCTGCTGCTGTCCCAGCTGAGCCTCCCCTGGCCCAGCCTGAGGCCCTTTCCCCTTGTCCTGTCCCTGTTCCCTGGCAGCACAGCCCGGCCCCCCCTGGCTGTCCCCTCCTGGCAGGGAGTTGTGCAGAGCCACAAGGGCCCCCTGAGCCTCCTTTGCTCCAGGCTGAGCCCTTTGCCAGCTCCCTCAGCCCCTCCTGGGGCTCCATTCCCTGCCCTGGACACGCTCCAGCCCCTCCAGGGCTCTCTGGCCATGAGGAACCCAAGATTTGAGGTGCCAGCACTGGGGAATGGGCCCTGCCCTGGGCCTGCTGGCATCCAATAAATGATGGAGATCATCCTTAGCCCACTTCTTGTTGCTGATACATTTATAGAAACATTTTTTGTTGTCTTTTATGGCTGTAGCCTGAGAAGTTTTGGCTGGCTTTGGCCTTTTTCTCTCCACACACTCCAGGGGAACTGGATCTCCTGGATGTTTTCTCTCTGTGTCTCCTGTAGGGTTTTGTCTCTGCAGGGTTTCATTTCCAGCAGACACCTGGTGGGGTGAAGTCCCTCATGAGAACCAGAGTTTGGAATGGGAAAACTTCTCCCAGCTACTTGTAGGATGTCTCATCTGCCTCTTCATTCACACTAGGGATTCTAGGACAAATTTGATTATATTTGTACACTAATATCTGAATAATGGTTTTCCAGCCAAAGTCTGGTTATGCAGAGATTTAGGACATTTTTAAAAATTCCACCTCAATTATTTCCTAAATAAATTTGGGAGTAGATTCAGATTCACTTCTGTCCTAGCAACAGCATGATTTAATTTTCTGTTTGCCTCTGAGTCTCAAGCTCAGATCAGGCTTTGACCTTTACATTGTGTTTAAACAGCCAAAACATCATTAATGGTGGATGGTTGATTTTTACCTGTATTCAATAATGTGCTTTGTTGGGATTGGGAATGTATTCCATGTCCCATGCCAGCCACAAACTACATGGAAACAGAACATTTCCTTTTGTAAACAGCAATGGAAATGGCTGCAAAAGTGATTTGAGCTCACTAAATGCTATCAATGTTTTGCTGATCCAACACAAGTCATTTGAGCATTGCCTCTTGGAGCTCTCCAAGGAATTCCAGCCTGGCCAGGGTTTATGAGGCCATCAGCAACTTTAATCATCCCAAATGGGGTCTGCCAGGCATGTTCCAGTGGTTAGCAAATTAATAAATGAATGTGTTCATAGTTAAAAGCACTTCACACATGCTACAGAGGGCAAATCCTGGAAAAAGTGAGGAATTTCTGGGATCATGGCATAGCAGAGTTCATTATCAGCTTTCCCCCTGGCATTCCCTGCTTCAGTCATTTTTCTTCAATGTTATAATTAAGAGCAAATTACCTGCTGAAATCCAGCCTATTTGGGCTCCGAGTAATGGCCTTAAACTTGCTTGGAAGACTAAGAATCCTCATCATCATTAAAGCTCCTCACACCAGGTAATTTGTGATTAAATAAACAAAATTCTCATCAGGTTATTGTTGTTCCTGATGTGATTATCAAGTACACTTTGCTCCTGTCACTTCAGAAAAATAACAAAACCAGGATTTATTTTTTATTTATGGCATTTTGGCACTGATGTAATTAGAAAAATCTCCAGAGAGATTTCCCAGGCAAATCTATTTAGAAGCGAGTTTTAATTATCTGAAATATTAATCATCTTTTGCCTCTGTTCTAAATTAATTTAGATGCATTATTATGTCTGCAGCAAAACTTGAATCTAGCTGATAATATTCCCAAATAAACCACAGAGCAAGGATTGTACTTGGCAGGAACCACATTCATTCTCTCCAAAGTTTCCCTGAGATTCAGGACGAACATAAAACTTAAAAAAAACCTCATCCAGCTCCAATTATTTCTTCCATGGCTGCATGATTCCTTAAAATTCCATTTACTCGGGGAAAATGCCATTTATTTCTGACACAGAAATTAAGGTCCCTCCTAACCCAAACCATTCTGGGACTCAAACTGGTTACAGACACAAAATTTCTTGGCCCAGGAAAGAATGGGGAAAAATGGATTTTGTTTTCATTTGAAGTTGACAGGTAAAGATCCCAAATGTGCCTGGATTTCACCCCTAAGGACCAGTATGGAATGGCAGCATCATGAACACAAAGTTATTTCCCAGGTTAATCTCCATATATTATTTCCATGTGTAGATTTCAACTCAAATCTAAGCAATTTATATAATAAGGAATTCAATAAGGAAAGTTTTGTAAAGCTAGTGCCATGGAAAAAAATAGAAAGTGGTGCTAAACCCCCCAAATTTACAGGTTTTTGTAACTTACTTTTGTAACTTACTTTTTACTGGTTTTTGTAACTTACTCAAAGCAACCATGGAAGATGGGGCAGCCCAGAGCAGGTGGATGAGTTTGGTGGGTCTTACACCAGTTCAGGGTTGGGAATGGTGCATTCGTGTAAATTCACCTTAATTTCATTTATATAAGCCCTAAAATTTGAAGGATTTTACTTTTTATAGTAGGTAACTCAAAAAGAGGGCCTGAAATTCTGAATTGCTAAAGCTGGAAATTCTGAATTTTTAACTCTCATAAGTTGAACACAAAAAATCCCACCAACTTTTAAAGCCTTGATATAAAATTACTTGAGGAACTCCTGGAATTTGCAGCCTGGGTCCCACATCATGATCTCCAGCAACCACTGAAATTCCACAGGAAGAGCTTTTAAAAGATCAAGGTCTGGCCAGCCTGAAAATGGTTTTACCTCCAATTAAAATGCAGTGAAATATTTAATTGAATATCTCATAGCCTGTTACTTTTAGTGAGTGCATGGAAGACAAAAAGGACAATTACTCCCAATTTGACAAAAGGGCTCCACTGAAGGAAAGCCTCAGGAGGTGTTGGGAGAATGGATAAAGCATTAAATGGGATGTTCTGGAGCTCTGGAAGCTGGCTGCTCATTAAAATTAGTGTTCTGCATCTGTTTCTATTAACATTTCCAATCAAAAAAAAGGCAGGATATGGAAGGGAATTGCCCATGGCAGAAATATCCCAGCTTTTACAGTGATAACCCATATCAAAAAAGGGATATACAGGAAAAACAAACACTTCTATTTATGTCAGTCCTGGGAATCCCCTCTGATAAATAAACTGAACATTTATCAAACAGCTCCTGGTGCTCTCCTGCCCACATTTTTTTGAGGATTAAGAGCTTTGAGACCACTCAGAACCATTTTTTCATCTCTCATTACCAGGCCACTTCAGTGAGGCATAAAATGTTCAGCAGGAAGAAAACTCTCCTTGTCTCCAAGGGATTTATCCAACACTAATCCAGACTGTATTCTTCAGCTACAGAGGATGATCTAAATGCCCAAAAAAGAGATGGTTGGCAGTAGGTGCTGTCTGGGACCCTGGAGCCTGTGCCAGCAACATCCAGAAGTGCAGGTGGCTGGGCCAGGTGCTGGCTTTGTCCAGGCTTTGGAATCTTTGTCTGAAAAGGCTGGGAAATATCTAAGAGAACCCAAATCTGAGCACGTTTGTGTTAACTAAAGCAAAGCAGGACTTGAAAAGAAATATTTTCATAGAAGTGCTTCTCCTCTTTATTCTTCTCAGGTGAGACCCCACCTGGAGTTATGGTGCCTCCAACATAAGAAGGTCGTGGAATTGTTAGAGAGAGGCACCAGCATGGGCAGAGGGATGGAGCAGCTCTGCTGGGAGGAAAGGCTGGCACAGCTGAGGGTGCTCACCTGGACAGGAGAAGCTCTGGGGTGACCAAACTGGCCTGAAGCAGTTGATGGGAAAGATGGAGAGAGATCCTTTAAGATGGAGTGATAAGTGGGGATGGCTTCCCAGTGCCAGAGGGGAAATTTAGATGGGATATTGGGAATTAGGAATTGTTCCCTGGCAGAGTGGGCAGGCCCTGGCACAGGGTGCCCAGAGCAGCTGTGGCTGCCCCTGGATCCCTGGCAGTGCCCAAGGCCAGGCTGGACTTTGGGGCTTGGAGCACTTGGGGACAGTAACCTTGAAGATCATCTCCTTCCAACCCCATCTCCACCTCTCCCAGGTCTCTGTGTCTCAGTTTTATCCCATTTCTGTTCCCATTGTGGGCAGCCAGGCAAAGCCAGCTGGGGATTGAGAGCCCAAATCCAGCCAAGGCTGTGTGGGTGCTCCTGCTCACCTGGAATTCCAGGGCTGTTCCAGAGGCAGAGCTTCCCTGCACAGGGTCACCCCATGTCCTTGCTCACAGTATCCAACAGCCTAAACTTACCCACTCCAAGGGACTAAAAAACCCCAAAAACTGGAAAATTCCTTAAGCTGCAGCTGGACACCACCTCTGGAAAGGAAGCCCAAGCTGATGTGTGAGGGAGAACTCAAAATTAAAGGGATTGTTCACATGGAAAGATGCTTGGCTGCCTCAACAATTCCTGCTGCAATGCGCTTAAAATCAAGGCTTTTTATTCTTGTAAGGTTTACCAGTTATTTAGAAAGAACTGAAGCCGTTTCCAATCTTTTCCTTGGCAGCCATGGCTTTACTTTATCCTCATCATTCCCTCTGGCCAAATTTTGTTGCTTTTTGCTCAATATTTCATGCTTATACCTGGAATTAGGTAGAATTACCTAGAATCTCCTCTGGGAAAGGCAGTGTGAGCAACTTGAGGATGCACCAAGTAATTTGAAAAATTATTTATGTATTTATATAAATTGCTACCACTTTAAAAATGTAAAAAAATCTAGTGTTGGCTGTTCCGAACAGCCAAAGAACAAAATGTTGACTCACCAGATTTCACAAAAACAGTTTTCAGGCAAAACTTCCCAAATTTCAATGACCAGAAGGGTGTTTCAAGTTTATAACACATGTAAAAGTAGCTATTAAAACATAATTTACATTCTCAGTCGCTGCAAATAAAAAGAGAATTTAAACTAGAAAAGAAAGGAGCAACTGGTAAGAATTTAAAGTGACATTTACTCAAAACAGCCCTGCAAATCATGCTGTGGCCTTTAGAGAAAAGCTCTGGGTTTTATGCTTTAATTGACATTTCACCAAGGACCTGAAGAATAACTATCAGAGGTCTCTGATGCCTTCAGGCCAAGAGGTTTTGACCACTTTGAAATCCACAGGTCCAAATAAAAACATTACAAAATATCTCAGAGGAAGTGCTTGACTCTGGCACAAAGTATTTGTTTTAACTGAGCAACTCTTCATAATAATCAGAAATCTGCAGGGTTTTTGCTGCAAAACCCATCCTCTTATCAACAGTATATTCTAAAGATAGCCTAAGGTTTTAGGCACCAGTTAAATTAAGAAAATACCACATTTTCACCCTCAGATTTGTTCATATGGATACACATGGAAGATACACAGAGTTGTAAATAAGTCAGTGTGTGAAGGTTTGATGGGAGGATTTTTTAAAATACAACCAAGAGATGCTTTCATCTCTGTCTCCAATAAATAAAGTTCTGTTGGATTAATTTAACAGCAAAAGCTCACTCTTATCCCTATATGCTATAAATTCCTAAATATTTTAGGAAATACACACAGAAAACGATGTCCCAGGTGTCTTGTGCTTCACCTAAATGAATCTTTGTTTGTTGAAATGGAGAGCCCACCTCCACTGCCACCATTCCTAGCTCCTCCTCCTCCCCCCACAGCTGCTCTTCTGCTCCTGCAAAAATTCAAATTTGCCTTATCTGCAGAGAAATCCCACACAGGTGCTGGGCCTTTCCAGCTGGATCCTCACAGCATCCATATTCATTTGACGACGTTGGGATTTGCTGAAAACAATGCTTGTCTCTGCGGAGCTGATTAGGTCTGAAAAGGTTTTATTGCAGATGATGGAAAAATCTGGCTGGGCTTTTATTCTGGATATGGGAATTACATATATTACTTGCAAAATAACAACAGGAAAAGTTAAGCTTGGAGACTTCAAATTAGTTGGGCTCTTATAAACAGGCATATTTTAAAGCTACAATTATTTTTTAATAGATACTTATTTCTTTCCCTGAACTGATAAAATAAATGTATTAGTACCCTGCAAATAGGATTCCAAAAGGTTTAAAACCCCCAAACCACACAAGTAAAGTATTGATGATAACTAAGAATATTTCATCCCTTAGGGCAAGTTTAGAGCAAGGTCCCCTTGCTGAGCAGAGAAAAGGCTGTGTGCTTTTAAACCAAATTTCCAGTGAATTCACATCAAATACTTTGTGACATCATTTAATGTCAAAGCCAGCTTCAAATAAATAGAGATTTTTATAGTAGCACAGGCTGAGGCAGAAAAAGAAAAACAGCCATTTCTGCCTGGTAATTTTACTTTTAAAATAAAAAAAAAGATGAGGGACAAAACTACCAGCCATTATTTTAAAACAACAAACCCCTTTCCAAACCTCCTTTAAAAGCTTTCCTCCATAGCTGGCTGACTTTTATGGCCCTTGCATTTATTAGAGGCTTCAGGGTAACTTCATTTTTAAATCTTCATAAACATCAACAGGTGTTCATGTGATAGTGACAAAAAATGTTACAAAATGTTCAGTAGGGTTTGGGGTTGTTAAATGAAAAATGAAATAACTTTGCATTGGAAATGCTGATTGCACAGGATTGAGGATTATAAATGCCCTTAATCAGAACTATTTTGTTTCCCCTCAGTGATCTCTTAGTCTTCAAAACTTAAGATACAGCAATTATAAAATGGAGCTTTTATCAGAATGGGCAAAATATCTCATTTTAATGCAACAACATTTATTTAATGTTAAATAGAAGCTGCCCAAGCCTCAATCATACCACATTTAGCTAAGCTGTACCTGATTTGTGTCCAAGCACTTCATCAGCTTTTAATGAGCAGGGCACGTTCCTCCTGAGGATTATTCTCCTTTTTATGCCAAACACTGGCAATTAAAAATTAAACCTGGCTGGTAGAACAGCTCTGGCTTCCTGTCCTCAGAGGATCATCTGGCCACTGATGTTCATCAGGTTCTGATGACAAAAATTGACATCAAACTTCAGAACAGGCCATGAGTCAGAGGTGTGTGCCCAGCTGTGTCACTTGAAAGCTTCACCAGGGAGCAGCAACAAAAAAACAGGGACAAAAATAAACTTTATCCCCAAATTAAATGCCCTGGGTTCAAATATTGGCTATGGAATTTGCAGATGGGGAGCTCTGAAGTCCCACACCAATGTGGGATGGCTCAGCTGGGACTGTGACATCAAACAGTGCCAACCTCACCAAACTGTGGGTTCTTTCCTCTTGAACTACCCCAAAGACAGGCCCAGCTCCCCTTCTGCCTGTTCCTCTCACTCTCTGGAGCTGGACAAAGAGCTTTCCTAAAGCCTCCCTGACAGCCAGGAACTGCAGCATTGATTTTCCAGCTCCAGCAGGCAGCTTGGAAATGCAGCCTGTCCTGAGCAGCAAAGCCAGGCTGACATGAAACAAAGGTAGCAGCTACTCCTCTGTGAATCTCCCCATGCTCATGAGAGAGCAGGGGCACTTCAGAGGGTTGGATTTTGTTCCCTTTTGGGTGTGGAATATTGAGAGAAGTTTTTCCTTACCGGGGGATCCCGATCCTCAGCTGAGACCGTGGTGATAACGGTGCCCTTGACGGCATCAGGAGCAACCATTCCCCTGTAGAGCTTCTGGCTGAACTCTGGAGAGTAATCATTCATATCCTGCAAAAAACACAAGTCACAATTTAGTCCTGGAGTGTTTAACAGTTCCCTGCTGTCTGGGGACTTACAGGGGCACATTTAACATTCCTATAATTGTGAAACTCCTTTCTAGGGAAAGCAATGGGGTGGTTTGCTATCAATGGACTGGAAAATTCCTATTCCTCTGGTAAAACCTTTAACCACAGAAAGCTCTCACCCAACACCTGATCCCAAAACCAAAAATCCAAGCTATTTTATTGCTAAAAAAACCAGAATGCAACCTCTATAAGGCTACAAGATATCACAGCCCTAAGGACATCCACAGCTGTGAAAAACCTAGAGGAGCCTCACCCAGACCACAGCACTTGCTCTGGGCCCAGGATCCCATTCTAGTCCTGCCACAGGGATGCCAAAAGATTCAATGTGCATTTATACATGATAGAGTTTGGTCCTGGAGTTCCAGCAAAATTCTAGATGCATTCCTAAGTGTTTTTGTTGAGGCTCTCCCTCCCTCCATAGGGATTGCCATTCCCAGGCTCTCCCAATTCCATTAACCCTGCACAAAACGAGGGGGGAAGGTGCTGAAGATTCACAGAAGAATGGATGTGGGACTGTGTAAAGGCTGATCTCTCTTGGTGCAATACAACAGGAATGCTCAGCTGAAGGGAATTCTGCAGGAAAACACAGCCCCACGAGAGAACAGAGCAGAGAATTCCACACCACCTGCTCCTGTGGCAGCAGGCTTGGCTCATCTTCCAAAAGGAATGAGCTGCTCTGGCTTGATGGTGTTTGCTACCTCTAATATCCAATAAATTAAGGGGAAATAAGATGTCCTTTGAAAGGCAAAAGGACATTTGCACAAATTCTTATGCCTGAAGTAGGTAAGGATACATAAATATATATCTATATTTGTATACACCTAAACATATCTCAAATATTTTGCAGGGTCATCCAGAGTTGCTTCTGTTTGTGTGGAGATTAAAAATAAATTCTGGTTTTTATTTTTCCTTTTATAAAACAAGATGTCTACCAAAACACTTTTTCCAATAAAAGTTTATTTTTCAGTAGAAACTCTTTAGGTTTGTGGCATATTCAAATCAGACCAGTCTGTCACTCATTTAATGTTGTGTGTTATTAATTGGGTGATGTCACTTGGTCCAGTGAGAGAAAGGGGTCCCTGTCCATGGAAGGGGATGGGCTTTAATGTCCCTTCCAACACCAACCATTCCATGATTCCATGGGAACCTGGAGGCAAAGATTGGAATCCAAGGAGAGCTTTTCCCAAAGCACTGAAGGAGGAGGAAGCGGGGGTTTAGCACCCAGGTATGAAATATTTACATTTCCAACTTAGTGGGGCACGAGCATGAAAGATCCCTTGGTGTCCCCATAAACCAAAATACCATGAATGTCCCTGTGTACAGTGACATTCCTAAGGCTATTTTATGCTGGGAATGCTGCACCTCAGGGATTTTCCGTGTTTGATCAGTCAAGGAGCACCTGGGTGAGTATCAGTGCATTACAGCAAGTGACTGCCTTAATGAGTTTTAAATTACATATTGATTCCCTCCTTAGTGCCTTCCCTCCCTTCCTGCTTTGTTTCTCCTCTTTGCTATTCTCAGATGACAGTCACACTTCCCAACATTTTTGTTCTGCATTTTCATACTCCTTGCAGGCAGGGCAGGGTTTGTTTCCTACCAATCTTTTTTTCCTATAAATACCAGCCCTGGGAATGAGCTGTGTCCTGCTCAGAGAAGGAGGAATGGGGTGGGGAAGTGGGATCTCTCCCAGATTGTGGTTTTTCTGCACTTCATCCTTGATCTTTGTCCAGGGGAAGGATGTCAGGATCCTGCAGTGCTTTTGTGCTGCCCCACTGGAGCAAGAAGGAACAAAACCAACAAAAAGTGGTAGATAAAGAGTATCTGTGGTAGAGAGACAGCTTTGGAGGTGTTATGCTTTGCCTTTTGCTCTGTTTTGTAAATAAAGCTGTATAAAAATAGAATAAATCTGCAGCCAGAGAAGCAGTGACACAAAGGCTGCTTTGTAGTTATCTGTAAATATGTTATTAGGTATTATATACGTAAATTTGTTATTACCTTACTGTCAAAATAGAAAGCCCAGGTATTTGAAAGTGTGAAATATGGAGAACCCATTTCCCAGATTTCCCATTTCCATATTTTGGAGCATGTCTGATCATTAATAGGAGCCTGGATTTAAGTTAATGGCAGCCTGGATTTATGTGGCTGGAGCAGTGAACTGGGGAAGGTTTTAAGATGCTGCAGTTTGGCCCCATCTGTGGGATTGTGCCTCACATTTAAAAGGTGATTTCATGACTTCTTACAGCCTCTTCATGGGAGGTTTACTGCCCCATTCCTGAACCTGTGCTTGGGGATTGCACTCATGTTCTGCATCCACTTCTGTGCAAGGGTTAGAGGTGTTTTAAGAAGCCATCAGATGTAATCTTCAATTATTTACCTGTTTACAAGCAAAACACATCTGGGGCTTTGGGCTCCGCTCAGAACAAAGCCCAGGACTTGCTCCAAATATTTGTTGTCCAAAGTCTCTCTGTGCTGAAAACCTGAAAACTCCATCTCTGCATCTGTCCAGCATTAAATTCTCTTTGATAGCAATAATTGGATTGAGGACCTTGGAGACAGAGAATTTACAAGGGCCTGGAGGGTCAGGACATAGGGAATGGCATCCCAGTGCCAGAGGGCAGGGATAGATGGGATATTGGGAATTAGGAATTGTTTCCTGGCAGGGTGGGCAGGCCCTGGCACAGGGTGCCCAGAGCAGCTGGGGCTGCCCCTGGATCCCTGGCAGTGCCCAAGGCCAGGCTGGACTTTGGGGCTTGGAGCAGCCTGGGATGGTGGAAGGTGTCCCTGCCCATGGCAAGGGAAGGCACTGGATGAGTTTCAAGATCTTTCCAGCCCAACCACTCTGGGATTCCAAGAAATACCTGATTTCATCAGATACTGGAGTATCAAGAACTTCAAGTTCCTTCCCATCCTCTTGGCCTTTCATAATGATCACATCTTAATTAACACCAAGTTCAAACCCTTGTGGTGATGCTGCTATGGCCAAAGTGGCCCCTTGAATTTTGTCTGTGAGTGGGTGCAAACTGCTTTACACAGGGATTTGTCTGAAGCTGCACAGAACAGGGCACAACTGCATCTCTTTCCCATTTAGTGTTCAGCAGGCCCTAAAGTAGCTCATCCTATAAATAAAGGGATAATACTCATGATGGAATACACGAGGCAATAAATGACTGGCAAATGATTGAACTGATCAGTTGAGATGGAAGGAAAGAAATAAATCTGTTTTCCATCAGTGTAACCCAACCCCAGGCTCGTTATTCCATTAGTGTCACCAGAAATGAGAAATATTTTGGAGGCAATCCAGCTGATTTTTTTTCACGTTCCTGTAAGTTTTATGAGGCTGCTCTGTTCTTTAAATGTGAAAAGATGTTTATTGTGTGGCTCTTCCTGCTGCCCCAGGGTCCCATTGGATTTGGCCCCCAGGTCACTCTGTGGCCCGGGGACAGCTCGGTGTCCCCCAGGTCCTTCCCCACAGAGCTGCTTCCCCAGCCTGTGCTGGTGCCTGGGGCTGCTCCTCCACAATCATTGAGGAACAATTTAAACAATCCTGGGATCAGCACTGAGCCCTGGGGACACCTGCAGTGACAGCCACCAACCACACCTGTGCCACTGATTGTGATCCCTGTAATCAGCCAGTTCTCAATCACCTCACTGCCTCCTCATCCTCATTTTTTTGGCATTGTTAGAATTGAAACTCTCTGGTTTTTATTCATTCTTGTTGCTCTCTCACTTTGGATCCTTCACCTGTGACAATGGCTTCATTCCACCACACAACGTCCTTGAGAAACTCCAAAGCAAACCAATCCCCAACCCACAAAGAAGAGAAAAGCACTTCTACAAACAAGAAAAGGCAAAATAATACAAAAAAATGCTGGTAATAAGAAGAGGAGGACACAGCATAAAATATGCAGAGGTTTTACAGGCCCCATGACACAGAAATTCTTATTATTTATGTTTAGGAATGCAATACTCACTTAAGAGCAACTGTTTCTGTTATCAAACCCTATTACCACAACAGCTCCTTCCAAATGCTAAATCCTAATAATTTGAAGTGAAAGTATTTTGCCTTTTCCAGTACTGGGAATCATCTGGATTGGGAGGGGATGCTTGTGTGTGCAAGAAGCAAAACCAACTCAGTACTCCCAGACACCCCATGGCTTCTTCCAGCTTCAGGGGAAATGTTAAGAAAGCAGTCAAATGAACCTGAGAATGGGGAAAAGAGAAAAATCTTGGTGTGTTTGAGGTGGTGGGAAGAAATCAAGGCCACTTAGACTATTCCTCCTTGGAAATACTTGAATGGATGCAAGGATTATTGTTCTATGACTCCCTGAGAGGAGTTGGGTCAGGTGGGGATTGGGTTTTTCTCCCAGAAAACGATGACAAGTTAGAAGGAAACAACTTCAGGCTGTGCCAGGGGAGGTTCAGATTGGATATTGGGAAAGGTTTCTTCACCCAAAGGATGGCCAGATATTGGAAGGGGCTGCCCAGGGCAGAGGAGGTGTTACAATCCCTGGAAGTGCTCAGAACAAGTGTGGATGTGGCACATGAGGACATGGTTTAGTGGTGCAGCATTATTGGTTTCACTCAGTGATCTCAGAGGCCATTTCCAATTAAATGATTCCATGAATTCATGGATTCACCTCTGGCTTTCTCTGCCAAAGGAGCCCCAGGACATCCTCACAATGCAAGGAGCCTTTTGGCGGCAGCAGAGGCCAATAACTGGCTCCATCCCCACGTGAGGGTACAGATGAAGTTATTCCTCCTGCAGCGAAAGCCCCGCTCTGCAATCTGTGCCTCGACCTAGTTCAGGGCAGGTTAATACAAACTATTTGTAACTTGTCATGCCAAGGGCTGAGAGTCCAAAGAACAGCCCAGTGTGCATCCCCTTCCTGCAGCCACAGGCAGCAGGGGGCTCTGGGTGTGCTCATTCCATTGGATAGCTCACAAATGATGGACTGCACCATCAGACATCCATAGCTGCTTAACACAATTCCATTACCCAGGAAAAATTACAGTGCTTGCAGTGAAGAGCTGGGCTGGGAGAAATGACAAATGTGAGCAGAGCAGTGGGAGCCCCAGAGGGCTGGGGAACTCAATAATAACACAAATAAAGTCCTCAGGGTTGGAGGGGCTGGATCTGTGATGGCGACATGAGCTTGGCCCCAGCACTGCCTCTGCTTCCCTCTAGCTCAATTTTGCGCTCTTATGTTGGGGGCTGTGGGGCATCTGCACTTGGTTGAGTTCCTATTTGGGCTCTCAAGCCCTGTATTAAAGTAATTACTCAAAGCCTAGTCTGTAAATAAAGGGAAAGCTGAGGAACTACTCAGAGGAAACACACCCAGTTCCTGCAGCAGGAGCAGCAGATGCTGAGTGGGAGGGAAAGGGTGGCCTGTTCTTGTTCTCACTTGGTTTCAGGACTCTGCACCCTGCTCCTGCTGCTCTGACTCTTGGATCAGCCTTCTGAGGTGTCTTGAGGATCCTCCCTATCTCAAACAGGGACAGCACAGGGCTCTGCCTTTACCCTCCACCCTCTCCCATCACCCCTGTGAATTCTGTATCTGGGAAGTTCATCTTTAAGCTAAATTTAAACCATCCACACAGCTCTTATGACCAATGTTCAAAATATCTGTCACCTGACATAAAGCCTGCTAATGACATCTGCCCAACACATTGGGATATTAAATCTGGCTTTTCCACAAGTCCTCCCCCATTCTCTCAAGTGTCACTCAAAATTCCCCTGTCCTACCTCTCACTCCAGCACCATCCTCATCTCAGCATTTAAATAATTTTTGATTATGTCCTCTGATCTGTTGTAAAATTCAGCCTGTCACTGAGTATGAAAACACTCACCTTAAATTGGATTTATTTTCTTTCTCACTTAAAGTATCCTCTGCTTGTCCTCCCTCCCAGGCCCTGTTCTAGCCCCAAACACCTTTTACTCCAAAATTGTTACTTCTGGCTCCAGTCTGGTATTCCAGCCTCTCCAAAGCATCATCATGCTCCCATTTTGTTGCTCATGTGTGGGAAGAGTTTCCAGGAGAGCATAAACTGATTTTTTGATCCTATTAATCCCCTCCTTAAATTCTCTATTCCCTCCTTTGAATGTGTACAAGCTGTTGGTACTGAGGCCATGGAGCTGAACTGCAATTTTCCCTGACATTAATTAATACAATCAACCACACAATCAAACAGCTTTTCTCTGAACACAATCCTACATGAAAACCTTTAAAAAAACCCCAAAAAATCCACCCAAACTATTCTTTAAAAAATTCAGTGTGCTGGGAAAAGGTTTCTTTTATTAAAAAAAACCTGAGATTTGAGTAACTTGCTCCGTAGAAGTCCAACAGAAGCAGCTCAGGGAATGATGGAAAAGCTGTTTCCTGCCAATGATGTGGAATGTGCTGGGGAAAAGCACAGATTAGTCAGGAACAGGTGACCTGCACCTCACACTGAGACATTCTGCAGACAGAGAGGCATCATAGAAGCCTTCTGGCATTGTCACCAGAGCTACTAATGGGAGACATTTACTGTCCTGAAAGAATTGTGAGCTCAGTAGAGACTGACAAACAGAATTACTCAAAACCAAGTGGCAATTCAGGCACCTGCAGATACAGAACAGGCTGAACCCTTATGACTGGCAAATGCTTTTCACAGACACATTTAAACTGAACATTTGTGAGCTGTGCTTTTGGTCCTGCTACAATTTTTGCTCCTTCTCTAAAATCTGAGCAATTAAAGTCTCTGTTCTGCCACAGTTCTCAAAAACTCAAGCAACTGCTCAAAAGGACAGAATGACTGACAGAGTTGCACCTTTGGGAATGTGCCAGGGGTAGGATTAAGGCATCTGAGCTCTCTTCTCCTCTTGGACACAGGGGAATGAAGATGGGGAAGTGTTTTAGTCACAGATAAAACATTTTCCATTTGTGGACCATTCCCAAACAGCCACCAGCACCCCTGGGGATGCCCCTGAAACCCTGAGGTGAGGCTGTAGCTCACTGCAGTTCATGGTGCAAGACACTAAATCAGGCTGTTCCTTTGCAGAGCTGGATTTTCCATCAGCAGAATCTGGAATCCAGGGCGTGCTGTGCCACCCCAGCACTCAACACACCCCAGTGGGTCTTAAAATCACAATTTGTGGGCTGAAAAGTGATCGTGTCACTTTTGCAAACTGTAGCCATAATATTTTCTGAAAAATCCTTTCCTTAGGATTTTTTCTCCTGAGAAGCTGAGAAGCCTCAGGAACAAAAAGTAAACAATGATTATCTGCTGCTGTGGAATGCAACAGGTGCATCTGTGATTGATCTCATGTGGTTGTTTCTAATTAATGGCCAATCACATTCCGGCTGTTCAGACTGTCTTGGTCAGCCACAAACCTTTGCTATCATTCTTTTTCTATTCTTAGCCAGCCTTCTGATGAAATCTTTTCTTCTATTCTATTAGTATAATTTTAATGTAATATATATCATAAAATTATAAATCAAGCCTTCTGAAACATGGAGTCAACATTCTTGTCTTTTCCCTCATCCTGGGACCCCTGCAAATACCACCACAGCAAACAATTCCATGAGGGGTTTATTTCAGATTAGAGATTATTTTAGAGATTCTAGAGGACAAAATGTTTGTATTTGTGTCCCGTGTTCATTGATTTCATAAATCCAGGATTTAACTACATAATTGCACATAAGGAGAACAATTACAGCTGTTACCAAGTGGGAATAGAATAAGACTCATATTAGCGAGGTGCAGGAGAGCAGGCGTTCCACCTGCATAGTGGTGGAATATTCGGGGAGAGGATGCTGCTGGACCTCTTTACCTTGACTCTGACGGTGACAGTGGCCAGCCCAGGTGGCATGGTGCCCTTGCTGTCGAAGGCTTCCACGAGGAAGGTGAAGGTTGCCTCTGTATCATAGAAGGATTCATAATCCAAGGATTTCCGCAGCGACAGCTCTCCCGTGCGCTTGTCCAGGACAAAATGCTCCCGGGCTTCCTCAGTGCGGATCCGATAATTCACATCTGCTCCCAGGTCCGCGTCCGTGGCCTGCAGGGAACAGAGGGACATCACACAAAACCCAGGGCACCAGGAATATTTCTCTGTCTGCTCTGGGGCGCCCTGACCCCCAGGGCAGCACTGACTTTGACCCTCATTCATGGAGAAAGTTTCCTGGACTTCAAGATAAACTGGAACCTGTAGGAAAGACATTCTGTGGTGTTCTTGGGAGCCAGCAAAGTCTCTTCCTGAGGAAGACACCAAGGTTGTCACCATGGTGACGTGATGAAGAGAAAGTTAAGTTATATGGACATTAGCTGGCTCCTTCATCACCTACTGAGAACTTTGTTTCTTTCTTATAACCAATGGGCAGTGAATGTGTCTGTTAAGTGAATGCAAATATCTTGAAAAAGTATAAAAGCAACATGTTGCTGTAATAAATCTCTCTTGTATCCTCCTGATGGAGTCGTGGTACTTTGTGCTGTGTTGTGCTCTATAATGACATGAACACACAAGAGTGTGCAATAGATTATAGAGAGCAGTGTAGGTGTAGCACTTGGTGAGAAATTGAGGATTTGGGATTTTTAGTGTGTTGTGGATGGAAGCAAGATGGAGGGCACAGGGTGTCATCCTGGGTTTCTTCTTTATTATTCTTCTTCTCCCATCTCCATGGGTTTGGGTGGCATTTTGTAATTGGGCAGAAAAGTCCCCATTGTATCTCTGTGGGATCAGTTATTGGGTTAAAAGGGGAAATAATCCAGGTGTCAGCTCTTAACTGGATAGTTTAGTGTTAAAAGCCCTTGTACCAAGCGATTGTTGGCCATTTTGTGCCTTCTAATGAAAAGCTGCTGAACTCACAGTAGTGAGACTGTTTTACTGATAAGAAATAATAAACACCTGAGTCTGAACATGAGCTACTGTCTCAAGTGCCTTCAATCCAGACCCAGAGAAACTGAAGACCAATACCCAGCAACTGGGACCCCACATATCCTCACAAAATATCCCTCTGAAATTTAAAGGGCAAACTGTTGAGAACATCTTGAGTTGAGTTGTGTTGCTGCAATCATATTCAATGTGCACAGACACAAGTAATGAAGAATTCACTGAAGGTTTAAGCTGTGGGAAATGAGCACAGTGTTCTGGAAAACTGGCAGTGGAAACTGAAGCTGGTTTTAGCTCTCTTCCCTGGACACCTGCTATTGGACACTGCCATGATCACAGAATCCCAGGATGGTTTGGGTTAGAAGGGCCCTTCAAGCCTATCCAGTGCCACCCCTGCCATGTCAGGGACACCTTCCACTGTCCCAGGCTGCTCCAAGCCCCAAACTGGCCTTGGGCACTTCCAGGGATCCAGGGGCAGCCACAGCTGCTCTGGGCACTCTGTTCCTCCCCACCCTCCCAGGGAACAATTGCTTTCTAACATCTGATTTATATCTCTCCTCTTTTAGCTTTAAACTCTTCCCCTTGGCCTATAGCTATCTGCCTGCGTAGATGGTGGCAGTGTAGGTTTGCTGTTTCATAATTGCTATTATTTCCTAAGTAACCTTATCTTTATAGGGTTTTTTGGTACCTGGCTAAAGGCCAAGCATTTTTCAGAATCCCAGAATCCCAGAATGGTTTGGGTTGAAAGGGACACCAAATCCCAACCAGTGCCACCCCTGCCACTGGCAGGGACAACTTCCACTGTCTCAGGCTGCTCCAAGCTTCATCCAACCTGGCTTTGGACACTTCCAGGGATCCAGGAGCAGCCACAGCTGCTCTGGGCAAAAAAACATATCCCCATGCTCCAGCTCACAATATTTTACTGCAGTCTCACTGCCGAGTTAAACAAGAACCCTGAATATCACAGAACAACCACGCGCCACCTTCACTCACCCCCTCCTCACCTCCAGCTGCAGGAAGACAGTTCCTGGTGGGAGATTCTCTGGCACACAGACAGTGTAGGAGGAGTTGGTGAACACGGGGCTGTTGTCATCAATGTCCAGCACCTTGATGGCCAGGGTGAGCGTGGAGCGCCGCGGGTCCACGGCACCGTCGGTCGCCTCCACGATGAGCTCGTAGTGATCCCTCACCTCCCTGTTCAGCTTCACTGCCGTGTAAATGCTGCCGTTGGACGTGATCCTGAACAGGTTTTTGAAGTTGGCCAGGCTGTAGTGGACCTGCCCATTAACCCCAGCATCTGCATCTGTAGCCTAAAGAGACAGCAGGAAAACCATGGGTTAATGCACAAATTGCAAACCTCCGAGGGAGACACCCACAGGAGAGAAACCAGGTGAGGTTTCAATAAAGTGAAAGATTCTGCTAAATCTGTGTTGTCTGGGGCAGCCTGCCTCTGCCTGAGCTGTGACTGAAGATAAAACATCCCACAGAAACAAATGGCTCCATTCCCAGTGACAGAAGCCAGGCTAACTGGAGCCCTTGAGGAGAAAAGGCACATTTAGCTGCTCAGCCTTGGAAACTTTTGACAGGACAAGAGGACACAGCCTGAAGTTGTGCCAGGGCAGGATCAGGCTGGACAGCAGCAGCAATTTCTGCATGGAAAGGGTGCTCAGGCCTTGGCAGGGGCTGCCCAGGGAGCTTTGCAGTGCCCAGCCCTGCAGGTGTCCCAGGAAGGGCTGGAGGTGGCACTCAGTGCTCCGGGCTGGGATCAGGCACAGGCTGGACTCAATCCTGGAAGTTCTCCTATCCTAAATGAATTTGAAAGTAATTTTAATTTCTAAATGACTCTGGGATTCTATCCTATTTTTCTCTGAACTTCAACAGAGGATGAATTTGATGCTTGTGAAGCCAAACCCTCAGATAATTCTAATGCTGAAGGAGCTTCAGGATTGGGTGGTGTCTGAGAGGAATTTTTATTTAACACTGAAGCCGTGTTTCATTGCTGCCCAAATCCTTATGGAATATGAATTTAGATGAAGGATGGATGCAGACAGACAGAAGGGACACGTGAGTTATAAATTTTCTTTCCACTTAACACATTTGTCACACTCAGTGATATTTTCATTGCTACTCTCTGAAGAACTACTTAAATTTCTGTTTTGCTCCTGTTCCTGTTCTTCAAACCCAAATATTATCACATTTCATCCTTATTCTTCTGTGCTCACAACAGGCTGATGATTGCCATAGAAAACCCCCTCGATTTCTTTAGTTGGCATCTTTGTTCTCACACACTGCAGCAAGCCTCAGATTTCAGTGTCAGCCAAATAATTCTTGTTATCACATAATTATAGGGATGGACAAAATTAATAGGTTTTCATAGAGCTCTCAGGTTGAAATGCTGACCTGTTATTTTGCCTCCTCTTAATTAAATTAGGGTGTGATGAACAAGGTTATGTAAATTATACAAAGGGCACTCTGCCCTACTCTATTCTCATTTATTTGCCTTTATGAATGACATCTGTGAAGATCATAAGAGATTTGCACATTTTGTTTTCAGGACAGTCACCAGGAATGCTTAATTCTGGTGATGGTATTCATTGTAAGGCTTGGTAATGAAACCATTTATCTTGCTAGAAATCAATTAAAAGTAAATTAAAATTGCTAATAAGGAAAACAATCACTGTGCTTCTTCCCTGCATCGTGCCCACATGCTAAGGAGGGTTTGCTACAACTTCATTCTGACTGGTCCATAGGTACATAGCATCCTTCTAATCCACATCTGTCAGCTGGATTTGCTTAATTTCCAATCAATTCCATTTCCTCTGTAGAAATAACAGATCTAAAAAAAACCCCAAACAAACAAACAAACAAACCAAAAAGTCCCATGGGAATCTCCAAGAGTAATCAGAAATACGCCTATAATTGGAAACCGTGACAAAAAAATTCTCATGAGACAACAGTTTTGCATTAGGTTCGTTTGGAAGCATGTTTTAGAACAGATAAACTTCTTGTTTAGGAAAGGAAATTAAAATTACTTTCAAATATATGGCAGGCTTTGCAACTGGGTTCCATAAAACATGACTGCGAATGTTGTGAACTCATTTGTGCACATCCTTAGGCAGAAACACCTTTGCCACGTTCTGCAGGACTGATTTGGTTCACTGAATTCCAGAATTATTGAGGCTGGAGAATCCCTGCCAGCCCATGGAGTCCCAGCTGTGCCCAGTGCCCACCTTGTGCCCAGCCCAGAGCACTGAGTGCCACCTCCAGCCCTTCCTGGGACACCTGCAGGGCTGGGCACTGCAAAGCTCCCTTTGGAGCCAAGGCCTGAGCACCATTTCCATGGAGAAATGGATAATTCAATATAATCCAATTATCTACTTGGGATTATACCACCAAAACACTGGTGAAGAATTAACATTTTTATCACTCTGAACTTGAAAAGAGATAATGTTCTCTCTATGGATAAGAAAGAAAAAGAGTTTAATCTGTTTCCTAAAAGAATCCTGTTTCAAGGGTGCACAATTGTTCCCACATGGAACAGTTATAATTTCCCAGAGCCTGTGGGAAGCAGCTCCTTGGACTGTTGGTGTGGACACTTTCTGTCCTGCTTTGCAGTCATCACTTTGTACAAAAATGGACAATTTTAACCCCAATTCCACCCCCAAATCTGTCACAAACAGGTACAAGACTTGCCAGGAAGTGAGGAGATGTGGAAAACAGGGACCTTTCAGGAAGTTCTGCTTTAAAAAACCAGCCCTGGTTGAATTTACCCCAACTCTGACAACAGGAACCAGTGACATCCCAATAAATTTAATCCCATTTGGTCACTACCAACACTGGGCTGAATTCCCTGAGTGAACAGGTACAGAAGTGGGGGGGAAGCCAGGAAACAATTCATTCCTGTATCACCTGAATCCTAAACAAAGTCCCAAAGCCAAGGAGAAAACAGCAGGACTAAAAAGAGGTGAGAACACATTCCTGTGCTCCTCAAGGCTTTCCACCACAACTCAGCCTCAGTGATTTGCACAAAAATATGGTGAGAGTCCTGAAGTTTTGGTAGGTAAAGGGCCAGCAGATGACAGCAGACCAAAAAGGAGCTGCAGGTGTATTTCCATGCAGAAGGCTCCGCACAGCCTCGCAGAGGTTGCTCCTACCTGACACGAGGCAGCAGAAGCAGCAGCTGTGATTGCTGGAGGCAACACAGTCCTCAAAGGCCATTAGGGACATAGGCAACACAGAAACTGAGACCAAAAAAAACCCAAACCAGAATAAAAAATCCCCAAACAAGAGAGAACCAACAAAAAGAGGTAAACTACAAAAGGAATAGAAGAGATGCCTAGACAGGGCCATAGTGTCATTGCATATCAAATGCTGACCCATTTCTACCTTGTCCATCTCACTGAACCACAGAATCCCAGACTTGTTTGGGTTGGCAGGACCTTAAATCCCATCCAGTCCCACCTAGTGCCATGGGCAGGGACACTTTCCACTGTCCCAGGGTGCTCCAGCCTGGCCTTGGGCACTGCCAGGGATCCAGGGGCAGCCCCAGCTGCTCTGGGCACCCTGTGCCAGGGCCTGCCCACCCTGCCAGGGAACAATTCCTGATTCCCAATATCCCATCCCTAACCTCTGTCACTCTGAACCCATTCCCTGTGTCCTGTCCCTCCAGTTCCTGTTGCAGGGTCCCTCTCCAGCTCCCCTGTGTCCCTTCAGGCCCTGGAAGGATCTGTGAGGTCTCCACAGACCCTTCCCTTCTCCAGGCTGAGCATTCCCAGCTCTCCCAGCCTGGCTCCACCGGGAAGATGCTCCAGACCCCTCAGCAATTCCATAACCTCCTCTGGACCTGCTCCAACACTTCCATGTCTCTCCTGATGTTGGGGACCCCAGAACTGTGCACAGAGTTCCAGGTGGGCTCTCACCTGAGCAGAATAGAGGGGGAGCATTCCCTCTCTCCACACTGTGGGATGAGCCCAGGACACATCTCCTGCTGTTTATCCAGAATCAGGAAAAATATGTCCATGCAAAGTGACAGAGCAAGTACTGCTGATATTCTGGTGACTCCTCAGATCTCCAGGATGACTCTTATTTCTATCTCTAATTCATGAAGTACTGCATGATAAAACAAACATGGAAACCTGGGAACATAAATGACTCTTGTACTTTATTTCCCCAAAAATCCATCCCACATTTATTAGAGATGCCATCACCTACAAGGTGACAGCCTTTACCTGATGGGGTAAATTCAGATTTGTGTTACCAGCTCTGCTTCCACATCACCAGCAAACCCTCAGGAATATCAACCAACAGTGCTCCAGAGTAACAAATCATCTCCCTCCATCTCAAACAGCAGGAAAACACAGTCCTGGGAGATGGGAATGACAAAGACACCTCTGAGGGATCATTAATTCTGAAATATAATGACAAGGGCTTGAATGTCAACAATATTCATTATATCGTTATCACCCATTGCAAAAAAACCTCTTATTGTACCCTCAACTCTGGCTCATGATGGTGACAGGAATTAGGCAGGTTAATTGAGGATTTGTGCCTGAAATTTTGGAGCTGGGAAACATCAAAACAAGGTTACTACTTGGTTACTACTCCAAATCAGAGACAAGTATGGTGAGTATCTGTAGGAATGTGATTTTTGTTGGTGGAATTACAAAATCATCTTTTGTCTTTTTAAAAAGGAAATGAGCTCAGAAGTTTTTTCTTTGATTAGGTGAAAAAGGCATTTCATAGGCTTGGGGAACTTCACTTCAAATCTAAGAAACAGGAACCAAAAAGTCTCACTTGAGCAATTTACTATTTCTGATATCCCCCTTTCCTGAAGGCTGAAACATTTCTTAGGGATGACTCTGCCACAAAACCAACTTTCTTCAGTTTAATTTTCCCTTCAGGAGCAAAAGTTCCCCACAGTCCCTACCCAAGCCAAGCAAACTCCTGATTTGGGACAGCTTCCCCAGTATTCCACAGCTCAAGGCAGGAATTGTGCTGGAGGATCCAAGTGATGCTGTTGGTGAGAATTATAGTTCTCGTGGCAGATAACATGATTCTTTTATACTAGGGGTTTAATAGGTTTATTATTGAGGGTTTAATGGGTTTATTACTCTGGCTTGGAAGTATTCCCAAGCCCCTCATTTGTTCCAAACAGCAAATCAAGTGTGGGTGGGAGTGTTAGATTGGATTTTGGACTTGTTTTGCAGGGAGATTACAGTTTGTGCCCACAGGACAAAATTAACATCTCCCAGATGCAGTCAGAGGCCACAAATATCTGAAATGTGCCTGACCTCTTTGTCATAAACCAAAT